AAAAAAAAAAAAAAAATTGCTTTCTAAGTTACACTAGCCACATTTCAAGCACTGGATAGCCACGTGTGGCTAAGGACTCAAACTGAGGTCTGTTTAACTCCAAAGTCCAGGCTCTTGAGTACTATACCCCTCTAATTGGGTATTTGACCATGCTGGTTCCATTGGTGTCCATTCAACCTCACTCTAAATAGTGACCGTGAAGACACACCTTACCCCCAAGAGCTGTCTTCTGGGGAATGGAAAAGCTAGAAAGAGCATGGAATAGATGAGTAGAAGCTAACTCTCAGTATGAAAAAATGTAATTCTACCTATATATGGGTCAAGAGGGCAACTTCAAGCAAGAGAATGATACTGGATACCTGGGGAAAAATAGTCTCTTCTTCTCCAAGTAATCATTCAGCCCCTTCTGGATGTCCTCCAACAGAAGGTTGGCTTCTTGAAGCCTCTCAGCCATCCGTGGTTGGTCTGCTGCCATCAGAACCCTGGTATCTTTTACCTAGGTTCCATAAAAAAAGGTGATAATCATCATGGGGGTCCCAGATTCTGAGACTGGTTATTGTAATGAGTGTGCGACCAGCCCATCAACTAATGACCCTCCTACCCTAATCACCTCCTAATCCCACAAGGTTGACTGCTCATATAACATGACCCTCTTCCTCTGGCCATGGTTGACTGGGCTGGGGTTGGGCACCTGAAACCAACGAAGCCAATTACATTTTAACTTCTGGGATTGTGGAATTCAGACCACGACATTCTATACTAGTCTGCGCTGGTCCCTTGAACATTTGTTAAACAACTGAGTAACAGAATACAGAGAATTACCTGAATTCTAAAATTATTCTCAATCTATAAAAGCTTTATTGCATTATTGTGTTAACAAATAAAATCTTATACCTCGTTAGGAATGAGAGCTAAATTATCCAAACTGCTAATAGTTACCTCTACGAAGTTGGGATTTCAGAAGGCCTCTACTTTTTATATTTCCTATTTCCATGTTTGAATTTTTAATAACAAATAACTTTTGAAATTAGAAAAAATTTATAAAGATACTGAATTTGCAAAAATCCAGTTTACTAATAGGTTTCAAGGGACATGGCTGCATTGCACAATGAGGAACATCTGTACGGCATCCCACATTCCTGATGGTGAGATGTGCTAGGTAGTAAAAACTCACCGCTTGGGACATGAGTGATTTCCAGTAACTATCAATGATGGCAAATTTCCTGCCCTCTTCTGGCATCTGGGCTATGATGTCCTCTGAACTGAAGATTGGTTCCAGGTATAGCCAGGTGGCTTGGCATTTTAACCAGGCATCCAAAATTTCCTGCACGCGAACTAGCTTTTCTTCCCAGTTCTGCAAATTTAGCATTTCATATCTGAGTCATTAACATGCCACTCTGCATCACAGACCCACCGACAAATTGATGCATTCACTCATTCACTTGTTCCACAAATACTTATTGAGTGCCTACAATGTCCTGGTCACTCTTCTAGGCAAAGTGGATACAGCACTGAGAGAAAAAAACAAGAGTCCTTGCCCTCATAGAGTTCTTTTCCTAGTGGAATAATCATAATAATAACAATAACAACAACAGTAATATTTATAAGGCTTACTCTGTGACAAGTGATGGTCTGAGTGCTTTATGTATGTGAAACCAATTTAATCCAACAGATTTATAAGGGAGATATTATTACAAAGCTCACTTCACAGGTGCAGAAACTGACATACAACTAATTCAAGTAACTTGTCCAAGGTCACACAACTGATAAGGGGCAGAGTCAGAATTTGAACCCAGGCAGTCTGGCTCAAGTTGGTGTCCTTAGCCTATCCCACTTCTACAAACAAAGAGCAAAGGAGGCCAAACCTCGTGTAATTTACATTCTAGATTACTATAGCCCATAAGATACTTTCCATATGTACTTTTGTTTGGTGCATTCAAATAATCTCACCTTCTCTTTTAGCAGACTGTTGCAAAAGCTCAGTCTGGCAGACTGTTATTAAAGGCTTACTTGGATGGTTATTGCTTTCAGTCTTTTGTTGTTTTTTTTTTCTAATCAAGAGAAAGTGATTAGAGTTTCTTTGTTAATTGGACTTAAAAACCTTCCGAGACTTCCCTGGTGGTCCAGTGGTTAAGCCTCCGCTCTTCCACTGCAGGGGGCACGGGTTGGATCCCTGGTCGGGCAACTGAGATCCCTCATGCCACACAGCCAGAAAAACAAACAAACAAAAAAAACCTTCTTGCTCCTCCAAGAAACCCGGAGCTAACGGGCCATCACAAAACATTCAACCTCATTTCCTCTTACCCGGCATTCTGTTTCTATTGGTTTGACAAATGGAGAGCTACACATGGTCTGGGTCTTTATCACGTGATCATCAAGTAGCAGTTGAATGTCATCAACTGCACACAAGATGCTTGTATCCTGTGAATAAAAATGAGCACCCCGTCAAAATCGCAAGACCTCTCCCCCACAGATTTTTATGCTGACCCTCAAAGTCCTCACAGCTCAGATCGCCACCCTTGTGGGACACTATGTCTTGTAGGAGGTGGAATTTTCTATTTTCTTCCTTGAAAATATTCTTAAAGACTTTTTTACCTCCTTTGCAGAAATCAAATACGGTCCAAGCCTAGACCTGCAACTAGCATCTGTTGAGAAGAGGAGGAGTTCTGTCCCCTTCCCTGTGTTCCTGCTTTTCTGTTTACTTGTTTTCCAGGCTCTCCCTCAGGTAGAATCAACTGCTAATCTGGTTAGGTCTAGACCTTTGGTTCCCAAACCGTGTGCCCCAGGGCACTGCAGCAAACTCACAGCAAATAACTGTGGTTATTTTAAAACAAAATACAAGTGTTTTTCTTTTAATTTATACGCACTTTTTCCCAGACCTTTGTTCAGTTGATGGGACACAAATACTTAAGTTGTTTGAACCGAATTACTTCATAAATAAAGCTGTTATGTATTTCTTTTGGACTAGAGAAGGGAACCATTTAAAAAGTACTCAGATACCAACAGCACCGTGAACCAAGAAAGTTTGGAAACCTCTGACTAAATAATAATTTGGCCATATTTTCCTGGTAGTTAGGGTTACTGTGCCTTAAAGGTTAGCCCCTGTAGATGGACATTTCCTCCTGGGCCATGTGGCAAGAAAGCTGATAAGGGTCTGTCCCTTTGTGGTAGGTCTGGTCTTTCTTGCCCTGTTTTCACTTCTTTCAAACCTACATCTGGGTGGTTAATTTGGAGTGAGGATATATTCTCTCATCCACCTTTCACCAGCAGCTCTGCACTGACGGGTGTCCAGCTATTAATGAAGTGGTACCTCGATTCCCATTTTACTGTTGACCCTTGTCTATAGCCACTTCAGTCAAAAACTCTGAAGACTGGCCAGATGTAACTGAGCTGTTATCAGGTTCCCCGACTTAACTGCTCATCTCAGCCCCACAGCCTCTAGCAGTATCTAATCCAATCAGATCCTGTAACAGCAAGTTGCTGGGACACACAGTCGCCTGGTCTTGCTGGGAGAGGCCCCCAGTTCCCCTCCCTCCCACTGGCTTGTCTACAGTTCTTAGTCAAGTGAAATCAAGGCATCAAGACAAAAAGGAAAAGAAGTCACAAAAGGATAACATGCAGCCTGGGGGAGGGAGGAGTATGGGAGCCTTTAGGGTTTTAGTTCTCAATCCACACTGCACTTTAGAAAAACCAGGGGTGCCTTAAAAATACAGATGCTCAGGCCAGAGTGATATTGTGATTTATAATAAGAAACGTATCTTTGGTCTTTGTTGCCGGCACAGCTCCTAAAACCCTTGGAATTTCCTAAGGCATGAGAGCAATAAAGGCATCTTTTGTTTTGTTACTGAGGTGGGTTTTTGGACCACACCGGAGGTTGGGGGCTGGTTGCCAGGAGAGCCAACGCTGTGATTAGAGGGTTGGAACTTTTAGTTCTACCATCCTGACTTCCTGGGAGGGGAACAGGGATAGAGATTGAGTTCAATCACCAGTGGCCAATGTTTTAATCAACTATGCCAAAGTAATGAAGCCTCTATAAAAACACAAAAGGAGGAAGAGATATGGGAACATATGTATATGTATAACTGATTCACTTTGTTATACAGCAGAAACTAACACACCATTGTAGAGCAATTATATTCCAATAAAGATGTTAAAAAAAATTAAATTAAAAAAAAAAAAAAAGGAGAGGGTCCAGAGAGCTTCTGAGTTGGTGAACATGTAGAGATTTGGGGAGAGTGGCATATGCTCAGAGAGAGCATGGGAGCTCCACACCACTTCCCCATAGGCATTCCATCTGGCTGTTCCTGGGTCCTATATCCTTTTATAACAATCCAGTGATGTAGTAAGTAAACTGTTTCTCTGAGTTCTAACAAATTAATTGAACCCAAGGAGGGTGTCGTTGGGACCTCCAATCTATAGCTGGTCGGTTAGAAGCACAGGTGATACCCTGGGCTTGAGACTGGCATCTGAAGGGGGGTGAGGGGGTTCGCAGTCTTGTAGGACTGAGCCCTTACCCTGTGGGATCTGATGCTGTCTCCAGGTAGATAGTGTCAGAGTTGAGTGGAGTTGGAAGGCACCCAGCTGGTGTCAGAGAATTGCATGGTAGGTAGTGTGGGAACTCCAGCCACCTACCCCAAACACACACACTTTGGAACTGAGTGACCAGAAGTGTACCAGGGTTGAAATGCGCTGGTTTAAGAGCTGACGGCCTGCAGTATGTGAGTTTCTGCCTGTTGCCTCCATGATGTACAGCTCACCCAAGCAGCAAGTCCTCCTACCCGTGGCCCATCCCAAGAGCGAGCCAGACCCCAGAGATGGCTGAGCAAACCCTCCAGGCTTATGCACCTCCACAGGCACTCTGTGAACTTATAAGTTTTCTACAAGTGCCAGTGATAAGAAAGTCTACAGCTTTGCTCTTCAAAATATGGTCCAGAGACCACAGCTTCAGTATTATCTGGGAGCTTGCTGGAACTGCAGAACCTCAGGCCCCAGCCGAAACCTGCTGACTCAGAAACTGCACTTTAGAAAGATTCTCAGGTGATTTCTGCACTTAATAACACTGGAGAAGTGCTAAGTATTGTCTACCTCAGGTATACTTCTGAGGGACCTGGGGTGCCCTCCCAGGGAGATGCTAATTCAGGAGGCTTGCTCAGCTCTTTTTCAACAGAAATCTTGTTGCTCTGAATCAAAAGGTCTTTCTCATTTGAAAATGCATCCCTCCATGGTGTCTGGGAGGAAGGCTGACTGGCATAGGAAGGCGGACAGGAGGAAACAATCTGATGCAAGGGCATAGTGATTATAGACAATACTGTATTAAAAACTTCAACGCTGCTAAGAGACTAGACCTTAATTATCCTACCACAAAAAAGGAAGGATAATTATGTGAGGTGATAGAGGTGTTAGCTAGGGTGGTAATCATACTGCGATACGTAAAACTATTACATCAACACACTGTACGCTGTAAACTTACACAATGTTACATGTCAATTATATCTCAATAAAAAATTTTAAAACAGATTAGTTAGAGAGCCTTCTTCTTTGAGTTCTGTTGCAGTTCTGAAACGAATCCCTCCTGTAATTTACTACAGAAGGTCTTTGAACCCTTCTTTGAACCCAGGCTGTTCTCAGGGGGCTGAACAGTTGGACTGAGACTCACGGTGTCCCTATACTTCAGGAAGCTGAACGTCATGTTGACCCAGTCTAACTTCATTTTCTCCAAGTTTTTCTCCAGAGAGTATTCCTTACTGGCAGCTGCACCAATGGGCTCCAGTCTAAAGAGAGAACACAGCGACAGCAACATCAACGGAGGAGGCCTCGAAACACATCAAAGGAGGAATTTCAGCTCAGCCATTAGAGAAATTTAAAAAGCCTTTCATTTTACTAAAATGTTTACCATCCTACTCTAATATTTACCAGCTAGCTCCAGTGTTTTGCAGGGTTTCTTTACACTTGGCGCTAGTGACTTTTTGGGCTGTGTTATGCGCTGAATTGTATCCCTCCAAAAATCATATGTTGAAGTCCTAACCAGCAGTACCTCAGAATGTGAGGTACCCTGTTTGGACATAGGGTCTTTAAAGAGGTAGTTAAGTTAAAATGAGGTCATTAGGGTGGGTCCTAATCCAACATAACTGGTGTCCTTATAAGAAGAGGAGATTAAGGCACAGAGGGAAGACCATGTGAGCACACAGGGAGAAGGCAGCCATCTGCAAGTCAAGGAGAGAGGCCTCAGAAGAAATCAACCCCCTGAAAACCTTGACCTTGGACTTCCAACCTCCAGAATTGTGAGAAAATAAATTCCTGTTGCTTAAGACTATGGTATTTGTTATAGCAGCCCTAGAAAACTAATACAGGTTGGATAATTCTTTGGTGTGAGGAGCTGTCCTGTGCACTGCAGGAGGCTTAGCAGCATCCTTGGCCTCAATCCATTAGATGCCAGTAGCTGACTCCCCCAGTCCCCACCTCTTGCCAGTTGTGCCAACCAAAAATGTCTCCAGATGTTGCCAAGTGTCCCCTGGGGGTGGATACCCCCAGTTGAGAACAACCGTTTTAAGGCCATTAAACCAAGACTTCCTTTTTCCATTTTCATTTACTCCTTATTATTCCTATTTACTTCAGAATTATTATTGACTTCTTATTCAGGTCTTAGACCTTATGTTAATTTATATGATGGCTTTTTTCCCACTCCCTGTCCCTACCTTTTAAAAAAACACCTGCTATCTTCCTGATGCACTGGGCCCATCCACCTACAGACCCTCTGTTCTATAGAAAGGGGGAGGGAGGGAGAGAAGGGGAAGATAAATTCCTTTCTTCTTGTTTCCACAGGCGAGCTGGGTACTAAATGCAGGCGTGGCTAAAAAATTGGGAAGCAAAGGTTTTGGAGGGAAAAGGAGGGATTATTCTTTCTGCCTCAGCACTGTCTTTCATTGTATCCTTGACCATCTGGTCTTTACTTTCACGTCAGGGAACTGAAGCCCAGAGGAAGCAAGTGACATGTCCAAAGCCACACACACAGGTAGGGAGTGCCAGAACCAGTTCCTCTGACTCCTAATCTGGTGTTTCTTCCTCCCCTACTATGTGCCTTCTCCTCTCTCTTTGTCAGAGGAGCAAAAGAATTGCTCACATGTGGTCAGCCAAACAGCTCAACTAAATAGAGCTGAAAACCCTCATCTGGCCTCATGTAGGGAGGTAGAAGAGGCACGGATAACGCCAGACAATGACTGATCAACACCTCAGCAGCATGGTCTTCAACCTAAATGTGGCCTTCTTGGGAGACAACCAAAATGAACGTGCATACAGAGAATAATAAAAGCAGGTGCCAATCCAGATGAGTATGAGACAAACAGGCTGGCGGTGTAGCCATGACCAAATCACCTGACAGGCTTTCAGTCCCCATCTGCTCATATCAAGCATTGTTGGTATAATTAAATAAGATAAAATGCTTGTAATGTGCCTTATGACTTATAATTAAGCAAATAATTGCACAGGGGAGGAGTTAATGAGGTTGGGAGTCGATGAAGTATATTGAGTTGACCTTATCCAAATGTACTCAAGATGCTCACTAACTGTGGGCTGTGATAAAACTGCCTTAACTATGGGATAGTGGGATACAAGGAACATCACACTTCACTAATAGGTAGTAGCTGAGAACTTAGATGTTAAATCAGTTCAGGTTACACGCCTTATCTCATAATCCTTACAATAACTCCAATCACCTAGCTACTATTATTTCCATTTTACAGATAAGGAGACTGGGAACATAGAGGTAAACAACTTGGCCAAGGAAACACCACTTCTAGATTTGTCACAGCTGAGCACGTTGGCATGAAGCATGGCAGTGTGCCGTGTATCTGCTCAGTCTCTGTCTCCTTTGATGGGTTTATCTTTTCAGGCAGTAAAGGGTAATGGTTAAGGCTCTGAAGTTAGCTAGCCTGGGCTCGGGTCTTGGTTCTTGTGACCTCTGGATATTTGCTTAATCTCTCTAATCAATTTATTTCCTCATCTGTAAAATGTGAATAAAATTAGCTAGAATATTAGGGTGTTGTGATGGATAAGTTGGTTAATTCATATAAAATGCTCAGTGCAGCATAAGTGTTCTAGAGCTGGTATTTCTTGGGAACATCTTATTGGGGAAATTGAGGCCCTTTAATAAAATAGCATAAACCTGGTAAAAATGCATGTGTCTTGTATGATATCACTTACATGTGGAATTTTTAAAAATGGTACAAATGAACTTATTAAGAAAACAGAAATAGAGTCACAGATGTAGAAAACAACCTTATGGTTACCAGGGGGGAAAGGGGAGGAGGGGTAAATTGGGATATTGGGATTGACATATACATACTACTATATATAAAATAGATAACTAATAAGGACCTACTGTATAGCACAGGAAACTCTACTCAATATTCTGTAATGGCCTATGCAGAATCTAAAAAAGTATGGATACATGTATATGTATAACTGATTCACTTTGCTGTACAGCAGAAACACAACATTGTAAATCAGCTATACTCCAATAAAATTTAAAAAAATTAAAATAAAAGCCTGTGTCTGTAGACCTACTCCTTAAAGAGGGACAGTAGTGGTGGTATTGGGGGTCATCAGAGTATTCAGGTGGCAGACAGATTTGGGGGCCTGGAAGGACCTTAGATTAGGTGCTTGCTCTGCCCCAGTATAAAGGAAGGGCTTTCAAACTCTAGCAGGCATCACTATCGCCTAGAGCAGCGCTGTCTATTTGAAATATAACCTGAGCCACATATGTCATTTCAAAGTTTCTGGTAGCCAATTTAACACAAGTAAAAAGAAACTATTTTATTTAACTCAATAAATCCAAAATATTATCATTTCAACATACAATCAATATTTAAAATAATTAGATATTTTGCTTTTTTTCCCCTCCTTAATAAGTCTTTGAAATCCATCCTATAGTTTACACATTCAGCACATCAAATTCAGAATGGCTACATTTCAAAGGCTGAGTAGCCACACGTGGCTAGTGGCTCCTGCACTGAACAGCGCTGATATGGAGGATTTGTTTAAATCCAGATTTCAGCTTTCAATCCCCTGAATTTCTGATTCAGCAGATTGGGGCAGGGCCTGAGAATGTGCATTTATAACAAGTTCTCAGGTGATGCCGATGCCTCTGGTCTGGGGCCACAGTCTGAGAACCTCACGTGTTGAGTGAGAACCAAACCCAGTTGCCTAACAGGGTCTCTAGTCTTAGCAATACATCTCCCTACGCATCACCCTGAAGGAAGTGTGGAAAAACAGGGTCCTGAGAACCTCTGGTCCTAAAAACAGCAGATCAAATAGTACAAATTCTCACATATGAACTCCAGGGGCATTTGGAGAAGGAGAGAAAGCAAGTGAAGAGATCTTTCATTTGATCATGAAATTTTAGAGCTCAGAGAGCCACTCCTGTTTGTTGCTGTTGTTTGTTTAAAGAGGAAGAAACTGAGGCCCAGAAAGGTGAAATGGTTTTGCCCAAAGTCACTGAGAGCTGGGCTTGGAGCTCAGGTTCAGAGAACTATTTAAAAAAATTTCTTTTTGAAATAAAATCTCTGACTCAATTTTCTAGTCATAATCTGACATCAACTCTGCAGCTGGAAATGAAAGCTTCACCAGCAGCTAGTTGGCTGAAGTAGAGGTTACCCTAAACCAGAATAAGAAAAGCAGCCTGCTATGAGGCCATTCAGTCATACAGCTGTGAGAATTTATAGATACTTTGACAAAAAAACTTTTTGAAGGAGAAGCCTTACTTTTCAATGAATTTGCCAAATCCAAATTCCAGCATATTTGAGAGGCAAGTCGTTTCAGTGGGCTTTATTTCACAGCCGACAATCTCACTAATCTGCAAAGAGAAAAACAAGTGTGTATTGTCCAAGGTAGTGTTGTCCAGTAGACTTTCTGTGATGACTAAATGTTCTATATCTGTGCTGTCTTGTGCAGGAGCCACCAGTCACATTCAGCTGTTGAGTACTGGAAAGGTGGCTAGTGTGACTGAGGAACTGATTTTCACATTTTATTTAATTTTACTTAATTTATATTTAAATAGCTATGTGTAGCTAGTGGCTACTGAATTGGACAGCGCAGGTCTAAGGTTTTGGGCGGTGGCCTAGGGCCCACCTTGCATTGTGTCTGGTTTGCTGGGGGTTGCTCTCCCACCAGGAATTGGCATAATGCAAACTTGTGGGCACCTTACAGGCTCACAACCAGGTCTGGTTTGTTTTTGTGCTCCCAGGGCTGACTGCAAAACCTGGTCCATGACAGAAGCTGCTGTAAGCATTTGCTGAATAAAAGGAGGAAATCATGAGTAAATGGGACAGGTGGATTCCCAAATCCTGTGATCCAAGGATGTTGGGAAGGAGGAAGGACTCCCCCACCAAAATTTTCCTTTCCAACCCAGTGTGCTAACTTGTTGGAAATGTTAGCACCTGTGCCCATTCCTTTGGTGTAAATATTACCCCAACCTTATCTTTTAAGTGAAAATATCCCTGTGAAAGTTCTTTGATGAAGTCTCTGATGGCTTTGAACATTTTTCTCAGGGACTGAGAGATCTGGGCAGTACGAGGGTTATGTGTGCTCAAGAGCACAGGGGTTAACGGGAGTGAGGCTCTGTAAAAAACCTCACCTACTGCCCAGTTTTTTCTCTGTCCAGCTCCAGCAGGACTAAAGAATGTCAGAGCAGGAAGAGACATGAAAGTCACATCATGTTCTGTCTTATTCAGCCCTGTGTCCCTGGGGCCTGATATGCAGTAGGCATCAATAAGCACTTGTGGAGTGAAGGCATGAGTGAACCAGCTAATTCAAACAGACTCCAATCTGGGTTCTGAGGTCACCTGGAGGACCACTGAGGTAATGGAAATAATAAAAGTAATTAACATTTATTGAGGGCTTATTATGTGGTAGGCTGGTTTTAAGAGCTTTATGTACTTATTTCATTCTCCCAACATGGTGAGGAAGGTACTGGTATATTATTACTCCCATTTTACATGCAAGGAAACTGAGACAAAGAAATTAAGTTTATGATCATCTAGCTAATAGACCATAATAGCCATTGCAGAACTGGGACTTGTATCTGATTCTGACTCCAAAGCTCTCATCCATCATATGTTAGTGTTTCCTACAGGTCTTCTATGTATAATTGTGCAGATTATATACTGCATAACTCTAGAAAGTACAATTCTCACTGTAGTGCACAAAAATAGCATTCCCTAGAGCATAAACTGCACAATTATTCCTGGTAGCCCAGGGCTCTCATTTATTCTCTAATACCTGCAAGTATGGCTTAGAACAACACACTATCTCTAGGATTAAATGACATAACTGCATAAAGCACTTGACATAGTAAATACTTGGCCTATGGAAGGACTCAGAGATCTGTAGTTTTATTTTTTAAATTGCTTTTGTTAATTACAGAGATTAACAGGCATCTGGTCTAATTCTAAGAAACTGAAGTTATGCTGTCCAATATGTAGCCACTAACCCCTTGTAGCTATTGAGAACTTGAAATGCAACTAGTCCATATCAAAATGTGCTGTAGGTAAAAGACTTAGTATGAAAACTGTAATGTAAAAGATCACATTAACGTTTTTATATTGATTACTTATTGAACTGATAGTGATTTAGATATGTTTGGTTAAATCTATTCATACAGTTTATTTCACCTTGTTTATACTTTAAAAAATGTGGCTACTAGAAACTTTAAAATTATACATATGTTCATAGTATATTTCCACTGGGCAGCAGTGTCCTAGAGGCCAGCTTTGGTGCATATCAGTACAGTGTTACCTTGTTCCATCTTGTTTTACACCACAGTAGCAATAAAGTCTATGTCTCAAATACGGAGACTTGCCTTTCCTGCTTAAGTTCTGGGAAATGGTCAGAAGTCTCAACACAACCACCTCATGACCCCAGAAGATCCATTTTGTAGTCTTGAGAGCTACAGGTGGTTTAGCCTACAGAGCCCCCCCTGCCAGAGCCAAATCTGTGCACAAGGGTCTCCTGAGTTAGGCATTAGAACTGAGAATGCTTCCCCAAGCCTGGGGCTGTCACTGGGTGGGCTTGTTGTGTGACCTACAGTACAGGCAGAAATGGGCTCTGAGTGGGGGCAACTCTGAGGGTAACTTGTGGCCTTTGTCCTTTCTGAGCTCATCTTCAACTGTTTAGCCCATTTAGATTCCACTGTAGGTGCTCTTTACTCAGGAGTCACCTTACCTCTTGCCTATAGTAAGTGGAATATAGCACATTCTATTCTTACCTATAGCTCACTGCCCCCTACTATCCACTCCCTCTCTCTGACCTGATATTTCTTGCCCACTTTTCACACATCAAGACTGAGTCAAAAACACCTAGATTCCAATTCTCTTCCCCACCCCTCACTGGCCACGTGACAATTTATTGTCCCTACTTCAAAGGGTTGTTGGGAGGATAAAATGAGAGAATTCGCATAAAGTATATAACAGTACCCAGTACAAAGTTGCTACTCAAAACACTTTAGCTATTATTGTTATTATTATTTTAATTCCAGGGAACTTTTTTCCCCAATCTGTCCATCTAAGTGGCCTATAAATGAGAATTATTAATGTCTAGGAATGGTTGGGATTTTTAAAGTGCCCATGTGTGAGAATACTGTCATCACAGGGGGAGCACCAGATGGAGGGGATGGCTTTCTGAGCACCCCTAGAGCACTGTTTAAATGCCATTGATGAGGGCACTTTCTATAATGTCATCTCATGGAGAGACCCAGCACTGCTGGAGGGCACCTGTCTACCTAACTCTCTAAATGGTCAAAGCCCTAGTCAGGCTAGATCCGCAGGGAGAGGCGCCCTATGAGTACCAAGTGAGGGCAGCTGCCGCTGTGCAGATCCCTCTGCTGGGGCAGCTCAAGACCCAAAGTCTACCAGATGACCTTTGCTCTGACTTCTTTACATCTTTGCTTAAGTCTTTAAGCAAATTTCAAGGCTTTCTGGGAAACTGAAAGCAGCTCCTCTCTACAGAAAAATCTTGAATCTCTCATGTACCAAGATCTCTGTTGTCCCAGGGAGATCAAAATACTCCTAACGGTTATGCTCTCAGACTGAGCCCTTCTAGAGACAATGCCCTCAGTCTTGTGCATGGTTCCCGGGGAGAGAATTTCAGGCCGAGTCAGAGAGCAATTTGCCTACGGAGAGCCAGCCTCTTCTTCACCTCCACAAAGAGCAATTCCCTGGTAGATGTTTCAAGGCCATTGCTAGCTCTTGAATGTGACAATTATTTTAGAAACACAGTGAGTTTTCTTTCTTCTGTTTAGTATCATACTACATTTATCACCCTCACATTTGGTTGCTTATAAAAATCCCATCATTTTTAGGGAGAATATTTATTATTCTCATTTATAGACTCAAAGGGCTGAAAAAAGAGCGCAAAATTACTTCTGAACATAGCCTGCTGGTTGAGGAAGCTGAAGTAGGAATCATCTGGCATTGTTAGGAGCCCCCAGGGATAAATGTGACTTTCTCTTTTGTGTAGCCTAGGTTAAGGAACAAATCCAGGCTCCTCCCATTGTAATTCAACACCTTAATCGCCTTTTAGGACACTGAACAGCCATTTCCTTAGGAAAGCAGATTAGGAGAGCCTTTGTGGCCACTGGCTGGAACAATACTCAACCACCAGCAATGGGGTCCCCAAAGAAAAGGATCCGCCTGTTTATGTGGAGAGGCAGGAAGTTATTCCCTTCCTTCAAAAGGCTATCACCCCCTTTACTACTCCCTTGCCCTCAAGTAGATTCTCCTTTTAGAAAGAAGCAGCTTGACCCATTAATGTTTTCTGCCTTCCAAAGGGTTACCAGGACCAGGGATGGGCTGGGCTGGCTGGGGGTGGGCATGACAGGGACCTGCTGCCAGTGCCGGTCTTTAACTCCTGGGTTGCAGGAAATGCTGAGGATAGGGATGTGCTGCTTGAATTTATCAATCTTGATTTTCACATTCTCTGCTAAGCGCCTGGGTGCAGGCACGTCAGCTAAGGTCTTGGTCAATTTATATATCGTCCTCCACATATTCCCTATTTTCTCTGCGATTTCCTCAGCATTCAGTAAAAAGAGGGGTCCTGAAATAGAAAAGATGGGGTGAGGGAAAGGTCAGATCACCAAGTAGTGTTAGTCACATGTACCTTTAATTCCCTGAATTTAGAACTGTGTCTACGGTATGGATATTGGAACAAGCACAGGCTTTAGAGTTGGGTCTGAAACCTCTACTTAGCCAATGAAGCCTTGGCGATACTGACTGAACTTTTCTAAGCCTCAGCAGTCTCACCTGTGACACAGGGGTAATACTGGATACCTTGGACGGTGACTGTAAAAACTACATGAGGTAAGTAAAGTGGCTAACATATTGCCTGGCATACAATGCAAGAGTAGCTAGGGAATCAATTGTTAGTATAAATTATAGATGCTATTATAGAAGTACCAAAAGGTGCTTCACAAATGCTGTGAAATATTAACAACTGGGGAATGTGGACGAATAGGGACATAGGAGTTAACTGTACAGTTCTGACAGCTTTTACGTAAGTTTGAAATTATTTAAAAATAGATGATCTTTAAAACAGAAAATGACACCTCATTTATTAAAAAAAAAACAACAAAAAAAACGTCACCAAAACATTAATTCTCTTCTCCTCCTTTTCTTTTACAGGTATCTTTTAGCATTTGGGTTTTCACATTCAGTCTTTCCATGCTGCTGCTTCCTTCCCCTTTGTCATTTCAAATTAGTATTAACTCTTGCATTATGATGTTGCTAATTAACTCAAAAACACTTTTCTTTCAGGGCTGCCAAGACTAAAAATAGATTCATTCATATAGCTTCATTAATTAATAACATGCTTTACCAACCTAACATGTTTTGTTAAGTAATAAAATATTAAAATTTTTTAAAAAGAAGAAAAGAAGGGCTTCCCTGGTGGCGCACTGGTTGAGAGTCCGCCTGCCAGTGCAGGGGACACGGGTACGTACCCCGGTCCGGGAACATCCCACATGCCGCGGAGCAGCTGGGCCCGTGAGCCACGGCCGCTGAGCCTGTGCTCCGCAACAGGAGAGGCCAGAACAGTGAGAGGCCCGCGTACCGCAAAAAAATATAAATAAATAAAATAAAATAATAATAATAAATAAATAAATAAAAATTATTCAAAACGGAAACTTATTTAAATAAGATGGTTTAGTAATAGAGAAAAAGTGGGAGGGCAAATGAATAGCCTTTTATAAAGTAAGGAATTCAACTGACCAATTTTTTTTTTGGTTTTTTTGGCTGCACGGCATGCAGGATCTTAGTTTCCCAGGCAGGGATGGAACCCGTGCCCCGCCCCCTGCAGTGGAAGTGCAGACCCTTAACCACTGGACCGCCAGGGAAGTCCCAAGAATGCTTTGTAATAATGAAAAAGCATACTTAAAAGTTGTGAAAAAGGAAATACCACTTTAAACATCAAATGAGCAAAAAACGTTCTTAAAGCTATTACTTCCCAAGTTTGTTGAGGGTATGAGGAATGGGCCCTCAAATACTGCTAGAAGAATAATAAATTAAAACATGTAACTTTTCTGGAAGGCAATACCAATAACAAAAGCATTTTCTAAAATCCTAGTAATTTTTATTACATCCCTTTGATCTAGCCATTTCACTTTTGGTAATTTATCCTAAGAAAATTATCATTACTGTATACTGAAAATTGACAACAAAGATGTTCATCACAGTTGTTCTTATAATATCAAAGCACTGGACTTCCCTGGTGGCGCAGTGGTTAAGAATCCACCTGCAAATGCAGGGGACATGGGTTCGAGCCCTGATCCAGGGAGATTCCACATGCTGTGGAACAACTAAGCCTGTGCACCACAACTGCTGAGCCTGCACTCTAGAGCCCGCGAGCCACAACTACTGAGCCTGTGTGCCACAACTACTGAAGCCCGCGTGCCGAGAGCCCGTGCTCCGCAACAAGAGAAGCCACCACAATGAGAAGCCCATGCACCGCGACAAAGAGTAGCCCCTGCTCACTGCAACTAGAGAAAAGCCCATGCGGAACAACGAAGACCCAATGAAGCCAAAAATAAATTAATTAATTTAAAAAAATATTGAAGCACTGGAAATAAGCTAAAGGCTCAACCCTGGAGGTCTCAGATTTTGTCCTCTGCTCCTAAATACTCTACCCAGGTGATGTCATTGATGGTTTTTAACTGTACTCTTACATATCAATTATTCCCCAATATAAATCACACCCCCACTATAACTTCAATCCAGACTGATATAGTGAACTGCTAATTAATCTTCCCATTTGGATGTTTGCAGACCCCTAACTCAGTGTATTGAAGCTGATGTTTTTTTCCCAACAAATCTGTCATTTCTCTTATTCAGTGATGGCCTTATCCACCAGACTGCCTGAGCTAATAATCTGGAATTCACCCTAGGTGCTTTCCTCTCCCTCACTGCTCCCTGCCCCATATCAGATCAATCATTAAGTCCTATTGACTCTACCGCCTCAATCTCTCTCTAGTGTCCAGGATCTATAGTAAAAGAGATAGTTTACAGATATCTATGGCACTCTGGCCTTTCTTGCATCAGCGTAATAGGGGAACTGCCATCTTATTCTCCCACCACCTGCCTCTCTGAGTCACTACCCAACCCATGGCTGTGGGTGGCTGCCTATTCTATTTTACCCTGGCAATAGATCTGGTTCTTTGATCCCCACCTTCCATCATTACCACACCAGAAAAATTTAACTACGGTTGCCTTAATCCAGAGTATGAGAATATGATCAAAAGTCCAGCCAGAATCTGAGGTCCCAGTCTTATTTCAGAACTGGCTGGGTTGAATCTGCGACCCCATCGCCATCCTGACCCAGCAGAGTGAGAATGCGGTATACCATTCATCCATTCCTCCGACTTGATGCTAAACTCGTAGGCTGTCACCCACAGCTGCTCGTAAGGCACTTTGCTGGTCATCACGCTTTGTAGAAGAGGGAAAGTACTCTTCTCCTTTTCCAACAGCTCCTCCTCCTTATTGATCAACTGCAGGGCAAAAGGGGATGCTGTTTATTGGGTGGGTGGTTCTCCTGAACCCTAGAAGCCACCATGGCAAGTTCCCCAGTGCTTTGAAAACCGAGTTGAGGAAGATGCGTGTTCATCCGGAGAGTAAGACAGGAAAATAAGGCATGAACTCAAGCAAGAATGTCCCTGTGCTACCTCTGAGGGCCATGGCAGCTGAGATCTAGCTGGGGGAAACTTTATGATAATTTGCCACTTGCTCCATCACTTTGGCTTCCAACTGTATCATATCCATATCCCCATTTTCCCAATTTTCATATGTACTTTAGTTAAAGTACATATGAAACCGTTAACACAATGTTGCCTTCTTGTGCTGAATTGCCTCAAAGGTAAGAACTTTCATGATTAAAGAACTTACTAGTGAACTTCAGGGCAAGTTACTTAGCTTCTCCAAGACTTAGTTCTCCCATTTTAAACAAGGATAAATGAAGATACAGTACCTACCACAAAGGTTTATCATGGATATTATTAAGTGATATATCACATATGAAGTCCTTTGCACATTGCGCACATAATACATGCTCAGTACACGTGAGCAATTATTCCATTATAATTCTTCTTTGTGTACTCAGTGACTAACAAAAAAGCTGGCATAATGTAGGGGTGTGGAAAAAGGTAGTCGAAAGCACCAATGAAAGAACTGGTCAATCCACTAATACTATCCACCTGACAGGTGATGTTAGGAAAACACAAAACCAAGGGCCAAAGCCAACAGAGCAGTACAGTCATAAGTTCCCATCCCAAGACCCCAAACCTCAAATTCCACCAGTGCTTGATCTAGATTCTTTGAAAGCTCATTAAGCTTTTCAACATTGCTCTTCATTTCTTCTGTAGTCATCACTTCACGTTTCCTAAAACCTTCCAGTTCCTTGTTGTAGCCCTCAAGTTTTGCCTCAAATTCTGAGCATCTGAAAGTAAAGACAGCCCAGTCACACTTGGACTTCCCATTTATCAGCATTGCTCACCCAATTCCAGTCTGGGGAGAATTTAATCTTCTGATACAACATATGTAAAACTTATAAATATATGTTATTATATATAATTTGTAATCCCACCTCCCAGAGACAGCTGCTTTGAACCTATGGTGGTTAAATATTTCCAGATGTTTCTCATATAGGTAAATATATATCAAAAATATATAATACATATGCTATATAATATATACATGTATAAAATTTACGTATATACATATTATTCATTTATCCATTAGGTATTTATTATTAAGTGCCTAATATCAAGAACTGCTCTAGGCATCAGGAATATATTTGTGAAGTACACTATGAAGCTCCCTACCCTCATGGAGCTTGTATTTTAGTTTGGGGAAACCCAGACAGTAAACATATATGGATGGATGAATGAATGGATGAATGGACGGACAGATGGATGGATGGATAAATCCATGCATAGATAAAAATGAAATATTTCTGATAGTGATAAATGTTCTGAAGAAAATAGAACAGGGCAGAGTGCCTAGTGGATGCAAGTGAAGGGCTACTTTGTAGCCAGAGTGATCAGGGAAGACTTTTCCAGAGATTTACCTACTCCATCCATATTATCAACAAAGCAGTTCTCAAATTTACTTCTCCCTTTTCCTAACAAGGTAGATTAACACAGTGTTAAGTGGACAGGTTCTAGAGCTGGACAGGTTAGGTTCAAGTCCCTACATTGCAACACAGTAGCTATATGACCTTGGTCAAGTCCTTTAACCTCTATGCCTCAGCTAAAGAAAACAGGGATGGATAAAGTACCTACTTTAGTATTTAATAAGCTAACATATACAAAATGCTCAGAATTAAGCCTGGTACATAATAATCACTATAAAAATGTTTAGTCTCATTCACTAGAATTTAAACTCTACCAATGCAGTTTTAATCTCCTTAATGCCTTTTTGTATCTCCAGCACTTAGAAGAGTGTCTGGCATAAAACAATCAATACTCATTGAATGAATAAGGGGATTTGCCATTCAGAACAGCTATAGTAACATACCATAAATTTGGCTATTATCTTAAGAACACTTAATCCTGTTATGGCAGTTTTGATGTTCTTTTTTTCTTAAAAGTAATTTAAGAGAGTTAATTTTCAATGGTTTGATTTGGGTTTTATTTCTAATTACACTGTGTGGTAAGCAGCCTCCGGTAAGGTCCCCAAAGAGCCACACCTCCTGGTACTTTATATCCTTCTGTAACTGTCTCCTTTTGAGTTGGGCTAGACCTAGTAACTCACTTCTAACAAAGAATATGGCAAAAGTTATGGGATGTTACTCCCAAGATTAGGTTACAAAAAGACTGTGACTTTCTCTCTTTCTGTCTCTCTCCCTCTCTCTCTGAAGGAAGCCAGCTGCCATGTTACGAGCTACTCTGTGGAGAGGTCCATATAGCAAGGAATAGAGGGAAGTTTCTGGCCAGCAGCTTATGAGGAGCTGAATCCTACTAACAATCATGTGAGTGAGCCTGGATGTAGATCCTCACCCAGTTGAGCCCTAAGATGAGACTGCAGCCTTGGCTGACATTCTGACTGCAACTTCCTAAGAGACCTTGAGCCAGAGGTATACTCTAAGCTGCACCTAGATTTCTGACCCACAGAAACTGTGAGATAATGAATGTTTGTTGTTTTAAGTTGCTATTTTTCAGAATGATTTGTCATGCAGAAATAACTAATACACACTATTATAACAGAGTATGGCCAATATCGTTTCTGCTTCTTTAAATATTTTTTCTTGGGGAGGGGTTCCTAAAATATGGTCAATTTTTGTAAATGTTCTAAGGACATTTTTTAAAATAAATTTATTTATTTGTTTATTTTTGGCTGAGTTGGGTCTTCGTTGCCGCATGCGGGCTTTCTCTAGCTGCGGCGAGCAGGGGCTACTCTTCGTTGCAGTGCGCAGGCTTCTCATTGCAGTGGCTTCTCTTGTTGCAAAGCACGGGTTCTAGGCATGCGCGCTCAGTAGTTGCAGCTTGCGGGCTCTAGAGCGCAGGCTCAGTAGCTGTGGTGCATGGGCTTAGTTGTTCCACAGCATGTGGGATATCCCCGGATCAGGGATGGAACCTGTGTTCCTGCATTGGCAGGCAGATTCTTAACCACTGCACCACCAGGGAAGTCCCCTAAGGACATTTAAGAATAGTTTTTTCCATTGTAGAGTAGAAGGTTTGATACATATCCAACAAATTAAGGTTCTTAATTATTTACTTCCATCATCTCCTTATTCAAGTTTCACTTCATTTATTTTTAATTGATTGATTATTTGATATAAAAGGGTTGATGACTGCTTTAACATTATTCCACCCACCTAAGTAACCATGTTTGAATCACTAATGTTTTTGCCTTGACTTTGACTCTATCTGATATTAATATGGCTGACTCCGTTTTCTTTTTCCTCATATTTGCATGCAGTACTCTTGCCCACGGACAAACTTAAATTTTCTTTGCTACCTATTAGCACAGGAGATCAGGGACAAAGATTAGTAACAGGATTTAAATCAGTTATTAAAATTTTATAGGAAATACAGAGGATAGAGGAACATATTAAATGACACCACAGAGGTACAATCAGGAAAGTCTAGATCTGGGGACAAAAGACTTGGTTTCTTCAATAAATAAATTACAAGGAAAAAACCAAAGGAGATGGAGGGGAGACCTACAGATAAAAAGAAATCTAAGAGACATGTCAACCAATTGCAATGCTGTAGACATTTTTGAGTTCTGATTCAAGTAAACAAACCATATAAAGAAAAAATTAATTAGATCATTTTGGTCCCCAGATTAAAAACCATCAGTGACTTTCTACCATACTTAATAAGGAACCCAAACTCATTACCACGACTTCAAGGATGTGCTCCTGTAACTCTTCGGCCTCCTTTTATAGCTACTCTCCTTCTTAGGCAAAGGTATTCCCATGGTGGAGCCACTGCTCACGCTATGCTCGATGCCTGGACAGGACCCCCTTCTACTCTCTCCCTCCCCACATCTTCCCTTGATGGGATCCTTCTCATCCTTCAAGTCTTATTTACATGAGCCTTTCCCTGACTTGCCCATTGAATGCAATCACTGTGCTGTCACCCTGTTCTTTTCCTTCGTAGAGCTTCCGTATTTATCTGCTTTATCTTCCATCTCCCATGCCCCTTTTGTTCTCTGTATCCTCAGAGAAGAGGAATGGAGACAGGAGCCCAAGAGGAAACTGGGCAAGGTGGCCACTGCCACCCTCTCCCTCCCGATTGTTTTTCACCAAAGTCTTAAGGATTCAGAGATAGAGAACATAAGGGCTATGAGAGACAGCCTGCTTCTTCTCAGATTTTTGTTTTGTTTCGTTTTGTAATAATCTCTGATTTTAGACTCTGGTAGGTATTAATTTTAGAGAATATCCTTACTGGAAAAAAGTCTCATTCATTCACTCATCCATTCATTCATCAAGAGAGTAAGCACCTGCTATTTGCAAAGCACTGTGCTCTATCTGGATCCCAGAACACAATCTGGGTACTCCCCCTAAGGCACCTTTCTTTCTTCCCAGAAGATGCACTCTTATGGCAAAGAGCAGCTCACATTCCTGAGATGTCCGTCATGTATATTCCAGGTCACTTCCAGGCCCGTGGAACCTACCACTGAGTGGAACAAAATGAGGGGAAAGCTGATTCTCCTGTTGTCTACACAATTAGGTGCTGCTGGGTGCCTTTTCACATTGTTCAGATTCTTCTTGAGGCTCCAAACACAGATGCACACACAAAGATAAATCTCTGATAAAAGCACTCTTGAATTCTTCCCAGAGGGAAATAGTAAACAAACTCAGTGATTATTGTAAAATATTATGATTATTATTGTTTTAAATTTCTTTTTTTTAATTTTATTGATGTATAGTTGACTAACAATATTACTGATATACTGGTCTCAGGTGTATAACACAGTGATTTGATATTTTTCTAGATTACACACCATACAAAGTTATTATAAAATATTGACTCTATTCCTTGTGCTGTGCATTACATCCCTGTAACGTATTTTATAACTGACAGTTTGTACTGTTTTAAATTTTTTATAATTGCTTAGCACATTACAGTTCCTAAAGTGCTTTCATGTCCATAATATATACATATATAAATGTATATCATTAGTAAATAGTAGATACTCAGGAAAACCAGTTAAGTAAATTGAGTTCTATTTGTGGGACCACCTGGAGTCTATGGGAGAATAATGCAAGAATTTTTAAATGGTGGATTGGTCAGAATTCTGGTGGGAAATAGAATTCACTCTCATGTTCAAAGAAAGAGACTTTAATTAAGGGACTACTTACAGAGGTGAGATGTGGGTAGGGTTAAAGGAACAAAGAGGGGAGAGTGAAGCACCCAGAGACTAGCCTCAGAGGGAAGCCATTATGATCCCTAGGGCTGAGGGGACAATGAGAACTGGAACCACGGAGGAGCAAGAATTGTCATCCAGGAGGGAGGCAGCTACTGGCCAGAGCCCCAGCAACAAGCAGGGACGGGGAGGGGAAGAAGCCCAGCAGTCACTCTCTAACCTCCTGAGTGCTCTCCACTGGCCTGGCCCTGTCTGGATCCAACAGACACGGGAGCCAGAGGCTACAGACTGCAGGTATCAGGCAACCAGGCGTGGAGCGGACAGAGGAAAGGTGGAAAAGAAACTGGGAGAGGGAGTGGGGACAGCAAGTGGAGAAAAATAAGCATTGAAGCCAAAAAATTATCGTGGGCTGGAAAAATAAGGTCAAGTCTCTTAGAGAGGGAATGGGATTGTTTCCACAGAAGATGAATGAATAAATGAATATTGTTAAGCCCTTCTCAAAGGTTTTTCTCAGGATCTATGCAAAAATGATGCACAGCAAGTTTAAGACTTCACCAAAGAGAGGGCTGAGCCCAGGGCTGCAGGTATCCCCTAGAGCTGCTCCTCTGCTGAGTTCTGTGGTTGAGAGCTCAGGGACCAGTTGATGGGGTCAAGCTAGAGTCGCCCCTCCAAGAAGAAGAAGCTTGGCACTCTCCTCTCATCATAAATGACACTTGTTCCCATTTCTTCAGGAGACACCCCTCACTCCTCTTAACTTCAACAGTTACTGTAAATGGCCTTACAGTAATGTTCTAGAAGTACGCTCACAAGGTAGTGGTTTGGAAGTTAAGAAGCATTTTCTCCCCAGAGAAGTCATCGTTTAAGTGCAAAAGAAGCTGACCACTCTTGAATGCCTGTCACGTGCTGGACACCACCTAGGCGCCACTTCAGACCATTTCATTTCATCCTTCAATACAATGACACCTCTCATAAAATGAGATGATCTGAGATTGGTTCTACTATCCCATTTTCCAGATGAGGACACTGAGGCTCAAAAAGATGAAGAAATTTGCTCCTGTTCATCTAACTTACAAAATGGTTCTGCTTCTTGGTGAGGCATCAAAACTCAGTTCCATGGGGGAGGCTGTAAGGGGTGAGGGGGTATAGGGGGATCCTATACTTTGTGCTCAATTTTTTTGTGAACCTAAAACTGTTCTAACAATAAAAATCTATTAGTTAAAAGAAATCAGTTCTACTCACTGGGCTGAATTCTGGGTTCTGGGGACAGTAGCCATTTAGGTAGAGGAAGGAGAAGGCTGTAGGAAGACACAAATACTCGCACACACACACATCTTTTGTTGTTGTTGTTGTTGTTCTGGGCAACAGACGTAAGTCATATTTTGAAGGTAGCCACTAAGTGAGTTTATCCTTCAGCCCAAACTCCCATTCTGTGTAGAAATCCCTGCTTTTATCTACCCTTTTCCTTTCTCCTGAGTATTTGCAGGGATTATGGAACCTAAAGTTGGGTAGTGGGAGTTTCATGTGTGATGGGGATGGTAACTGGTATGAATCTGCAGTTCCTAAACAAAGTGTTACAAGCTGGGATGTGTGTGTTTGTGTGTGTGTGGGCGCACATGCACACAGGTGTGTCTTTACCATATATGTGGTATTTGGCCCACTTCACTTGATATTGTCTGACTTTTTCAGTGTGCAATATTTTCTTTGTCACTGCATTAAAATATTTATTTAGCAGTCAAACACACTTATGTGTCTAGAATAGAGCATAGCACATAGTAAAAATCCATGATAAATACTCAATGAATAAATGATTACAGGCACATTAGCATTGAACGAGACCAGCTGCAAAACAGGCAATTTCTCAGCCTCCAACCATGCCTTTATTATCCTATCTTGATATCTCACATATCTGTAGTCTCCAATGTAAGGCTGACAATTCTGCTATTATTATTGTGAGGCTATTATTACATGTTACTATTTTTGTGTTTTTCTCTCTGCACCACTAAATTCCAATTGTTCAAGGCAGGGAGAGAAGGCATTGGCCGGCGTCGCTACAGTGAAGCAGGCTTAAAGAGAACATACTTCAATGGGAAACAAAAGGAAATTCCTTCTCCACCAATTGTCTTGCGACTTCACCCACGCACAGCTGGGTGGGGTGGCTCTAGACAGAACCAGGAACATGTGGCATGTTATGAAGCTGGGGATCATGTCTAAAACAACCCCAGACTTTCCCTGTACCTTTTAATGAGGTCCATCTCTGCCTGATCCCTCTTGCTAAGGAGAAGGTTTTGGCTGTTTTCAAAGATATCTTCAATCTGGTCTGGCCAGAGGAACAGAGTACTGTTCAGTTTGATATCCTCTTCTGCAAAAAACACACAGTCTGTTCTAGGACAATGCTCAGCATAGGTCAACTCGCAGGGAATTAATTCAGCAGAACAAGAGGTCAACAGAAGTGAGTATGGGGGTGGCAATTAATGAATGGGCCCATTATTGATGAATGATAGCCAACATTTATTGAACACTTCCCACAGGCCAGGTTAGAAGGTAGACGGTATTATCATCCTCGTTTTAACAGATGGGAAACAAAGTTAAGCCAAGTGGTCAAGGTCACACCAGTAGGAGACAGCAGAGCAGATTTCAAACCCAGGTCTATGTCTAACCAACTCCAAAGCCTATGTTCTAACCACTGTGCTTCATTATCTTCCCAGGCTAGGTCTGAGTAGAAACCTAGGTTGACGTTCAGTACTATTCTTTAAACTATTTCACCTCATCTGAGTTTCAGTCTCCCTTTTGGTTAAAGGTCAGTGATAATATCAACCCCAGATGCCCTACCCATATTATGGGTCTGGTCAGTTAAAATGCCCTGGGTTCCCTCTGTACCCTTGGGAATTTAAGAGGCAGAGACCACAGTGAGAGAGTCCAGGTGGATGGTTATGGTGGACCACTTTCCACTCCCAGTCCCTATATCTACCTTCCATAACCAGCCCCCCTAAACATTGTGAACACCAGGTAATTCACAGGTATTTCCAGATGGAAAAGGGCTCTGAAACTTGGCTTGTAGAGGGCATATTAGTTTCTCCTTCAGAACCTGGTCCTTACAAAGTTAGGTCCTTACGGAGTCCTAACTTGGCTCAATAAGCCTTGAAGGGGCCCTGATCAATTCTTTCCTTTTAATATATGCAGGAGCATGAAGGAAAGTGCCCTGGCCTCCTCAAAGGTGGGATTGTATTTAGATTATAGATGAATGCAACCTACCCACTTATAAAAGGACTCTGCATTTGAAAGTGACTTTTCCAGGAACACCAGGCACAAGATGCAAAGACAGGCATCTAAGAACCAGTCAAGTCCCTAGATATTTCTTCTTTTTGTCTAACAATAAGATTCTCTTTGATTCAAATTCCGGGGTGGAATTAGTGCCTCTACTATATGGACACACTTGCAAAGTAGCTCTCCTGATACTGATATTTAGTGGTAGAATTGCTAACTCTCCTTCCCCTGGCTCCTTATCCTTAAAAATATAAATACACACATACAGTTGCATGTACACACATGACATTGGACTTACGGGGCAAGTCTGCATAGTCCATCAGGAACTCTAACCGTTCAGCTGCATCTCTAAGTTGCCTCCTGAGTTTGAACACGGTGACATCGCTGGATTTCTTTAAGAATTCAATGAGGAATACTAGCTCCCCAGTGTTGACAGGAATCTCACTGACTTTGTCTGCAACGATGCTGTACTGATTACAGATGCTACAGGGAAAGAAACAGCCATCATCACTATCTAAAAATAGCTTTCTTATAAGACCCACTATACTAAACAAACATGGTTCCTATTTGGAGACTAGAACAATGTTTTCCAACTTTCCTCTACCTGAAAATTCTTGATGGATAATATTCACATACATATCATATTTTAGAAATAATAACAGTAGAAATGATAATATATGACATGTACTAGGCCCTTTACTATGTGCCATTCTAATCACGGAATGAATATTAACTCATTTAATCTTCACGAAAATTCCAAGAGTTAGGAACTATTATTATCAACATTTTATAATGGAAGAAAGGGAGGCTGAGTAACTTTATCCAAAGCAACATGATGTGTAGATGTTAGAGCCAGGATTTGAACTAGTTTAATTGATTCCAAAGTTTATACTCTTAACAGATACACCATGGGTAAAATACAGATTTAGACCAAAACAATAACCAATATCACCACTACCAACAGCAGCAACTCCTCAATTCTATGTTGAAGTTGAACACTAAATTAATTTGTAATCACTCCTCTTAACAGTACACCAGCAAGTTCATCCTCATGTGCTGCAGGTAATTCCTGGTGGCATAGAGAAATTTACATTCATCTACTGGGACCACTAGATCTAACTGCCCACTTATCCTCGAACACAAGACTGTGAAAAAATATGTTATTATAGGGATAATTTGAATATGCTCTAATTTATACAAAAGCTAACGAATGACAGTCTTCAGCGTTTTAACTACAATTAGGAACAAATTATTTGCAATATACCCATGCCTAGCACATGCCTAGTAGCCCTCACGAAACGTTAGCAATAATAGCTATAATAGCTTTTGTTATTATTAATTGATCATTACATGTTGATGGTCATACACTATAGATAGATAAAAACCACTCCTCTCAATGTTTTCAGTCCTTGATATTCCTTCTTAATGTGTGGAGATCCCTACACAATGAAGCTAATTGTATCAAACTGATGAGAAAATGATTAAAACATCTTTACAGATGATGCTGGGATTTTAGAAATGAATTTTTATACAATTTAGAAACTTGCTATACAGAAAACTTATCTATTGTGCTACATGGATTCATAGTATTCTCCACTTTTAGACTCAGAGTTGGATTATATTTCCCAGCCTCCTCTGTATTTTTAGTTGAGTATTTTACCAGTCAGTTTGGACTACCATAACAAAATATTACAGACTGGGTGGTTTAAACAACAAAAAATGTATTTTCTCATACTTCTAGAGGCTAGGAAGTCCAAGGTCAAGGTACTGACCTATTTGGTCCCTAGTGAAGGCTCTCTTCCTGGCTTGCAGATAGCCGCCTTTTCGCTGTGTCCTCACATGGTGGAGAGGAAAGCTGTTTCTCTTCTTGTAAGGGCACCAACCCTATTGGATTAGGGCCTCATCCTTTTACCTCCTTTAGTCCTATTATCTCCTTATAGGCCCTGTCTCCAAATACAGTCACATAGGGCATTAGTGTTTTGCTACAGACTGAATGTTTGTGTATTCCCAAAATTTGTATGTTGAAATTAATCCCTAATGTAACAGTACTTTAAAAAAATTTTTATCTTTATTGGAGTATAATTGCTTTACAATGTTGTGTTAGTTTCTGCTGTACAACAACAAAGTGAATCAGCTATATGTATACATATATCTCCATATCCCCTCCCTCTTGAGCCTCTCTCTCACCCTCCCTTTCTCACCCCTTTAGGTCGTCACAAAGCATCGAGCTGATCTCCCTGTGCTATGCAACAGCTTCCCACTAACCATCCATTTTACATTTGGTAGTGTATATATGTCAATGCTACTCTCTCACTTTGTCCCAGCTTCCCCTTCCCCACTGTGTCCTCAAGCCTGTAACAGTTATTTTGAGGTGGCCTTTGGGAGATAATTAGGTCATGAGGGCTATGCTCTCATGAATGGGATTAGTGTTTTTATAAAAGAGACCCCAGAGACCCCTCACCCATTCTTCCATGTGAGGATAGAATGAGAAGATGGTGGTCTGTGAACAAGGAAGCAGGCTCTCAACAAACAACAAATCTGCTAGAGCCTTGATTTTGGACTTCCCAGCCACCAGAACTGTTAGAAATAGATTTCTATTGTTTATAAGCTACTCAGCCAATGGTACTCTGTTATAGCAGCCTGAATGGACTAAGACAGGATTCAACATATGAATCTGGGGGAGACACAATTCAGTCCATAGTAGGTATGGTCATGTGATTGAGTTCCAGTCAGTGGGAAGTAGGAAGCAGTGATAAGTATAACTTTCAGGTACAGCACATGAAACTGTCCTTGCATATTCTTCCTGCCAACAGTCTAGGATATCAACACTTAGAATGACCTTGAAGGCTATATGTTAAAGATGTAAAGTCACCATCTCCTTGAGTCTCTGAATGCACACAATATGTCTCCCCACCAATCTGGAGCTATCCCAAGCAAGAATAAACTATTATTTTCAATCATGATATCTTGGGTCTCTTTGTTACAGCATGTAGCCTAGCCTAATATAGGTAGATCCTCTCAGTGTGATAGACTCCCTCTGATAAGAATCCATTCTTCTTCCCTTTTGTATGAGAAAGCATAGAGTAAATATCATGTGGCTAACCTATCAGCTTCTTTCAAGGGCCCAGAAGAGTGGTAGCAGACCCACTGCAAAATAAAGGAAAAATATATATTGGTCTCTGCCCCAGGTTCCTAGCACAGAGCCCATGAAACCCCTGTAATTTCATGGATAATAAGAGTATCTTTTGTTCTAGTGAGGAGACTCAGGGTGGGCTCCTAGATGGCTCCTGGATGAGGAGTGGGTCACCGGAAACACCGAGCCATGATTAGAAGCTTGGAGCAAATTAATCAAACCCAAGAAGGGGGTCATTGGAACCTTCAATCTATAGCTGGCTGATCAGAAGCAAGGTGACAACCTGGACTTGTGACTGGTGTCTGAAGTAATGGGGGGCAGTTTTATAGGACTGAGCCCTTAATTTGTGCAAGCTGATGCTATCTCTGGGTAGACAGTGTCAGAATTAAGTTGAATTGTAGGGCACCTAGCTGGTGTTACAGAATTGTGTGGTGTGGAGAAAATCCTCCACACATTTGGTGATCAGCAGTGACAAGAATGAAGTGTTCTATATAAAAGTAAAGCGGGGGGGGGGGAGTCAAGATGGCAGAGTAGGAGGACATGGAGTTCATGTGTCCTCACCACTAGGGCACCTACCAGGTGCTGGTGGGGGACCTTGGACACCTAAGGGGACAGGAGGGGCCCCCAAGTGACTGGGTAGGATGTGGGGGGAGGGAGAAGTGGAGGCTGGACAGGAGAGGCGCCCCTGAGGGGTGGCTGGGGGAGGGGAGGGGCTCCCATGCCTGGAGGGACACACTCACAGCAAGGGGATCAGTGGGGATGGGGAGAGACCCTCTGGGGATCGGAGGATCAGAAGAGTACACAGCCAGCATTTCCCCTGCCCACTTGGGCCCGGGGAGCCTGCTGAGGTCCAGGGTCTGATCCTCTGCCCTCCGAGGACCTTCCTGCTGCTGGGCCCTGGGGGCGTGGGAGGAAGGGAGGGGGAGGAAAAGTAGAGCGTAGACAGGGTCAGTGCCCCTAATGGGAAGCTGGGGGAGGTGAGGGGTTCCCACACTCGCTTGGGAGGGGCCCACCCAAGGTGAGATCAGCCAGCAGGAAGGGAGAGAGACACTCAGGGGATAGGAGGATCAGAAGGAAACGGGACAGTGTTTCCCCTGCCCACTGGCCCCAGGGGGCCAGCTGAGGCCCAAGGCCTGATCCTCAGCACTCCAAGGCCCCCTCTGGCTGCACTGAGCCTAGGCACTACCCTCCACCCCCCACCTTTTACCTCGGCTCGGGTCCTGAGCCTAGGCCCTGCCCCCGCCTAAGCCCCTGCCGGACCGGAGCCCCCCCACCTCTACATAGCTAAGGCCTTTTCCAGCTTTTTGTTCTGTTTTGTTTTGCTGTCGTGGTTGTTTTACCTTGCTGCTGCTTCTTTTTTTTTTTTTTTTTACAATAGTTGATTACAACTTTATTTACAAAAGCTAAAAACTTTTTGATGATCCACACTCCAAAGTCCTTCAGCATGGATTTTCAGGAATAAATTCACATAAAAGTCAATTCAGATTTCCATTTAAATATTGGAACCAATGTAAAATGTGGCTTTCAATCTGCCGCTGTCAACAATACCATCCTTACGGTAAAAATCTTACATTGTATTAAAAACACAGAAGGCTATATACAAAAAATGTTATTTCTAATTCTGCCCACTCCATTTTCTACCATTCTACCTAAATTGTTTTTTTGTTGTTGTTGAATTTTATTTTATTTTTTTAATACAGCAAATTCTTATTAGTTATCTATTTTATACATATTAGTGTATATATCTCAATCCCAATCTCCCAATTCATCACATCACCCCCACCACCACCCCTGCCACTTTCCCCACTTGGTGTCCATATGTCTGTTCTCTACATCTGTGTCTCTATTTCTGCCTTGAAAACTGGTTCATCTGTACCATTTTTCTAGATTCCACATATATGCGTTAACATATGATATTTGTTTTTCTCTTTCTGACTTACTTCACTCTGCATGACAGTCTCTAGGTCCATCCATGTCTCTACAAATGACCCAGTTTTGTTCCTTTTTATGGCTGAGTAATACTCCACTGTATATAGGTACCACATCTTCTTTATCCATTCGTCTGTCGATGGGCATTTAGGTTGCTTCCATGACCTGGTTATTGTAAAGAGTGCTGCAATGAACATTGGGGTGCATGTGTCTTTTGGAATTATGGTTTTCTCTGGTTATATGCCCAGTAGTGGGATTGCTGGATCATATGGTAATTCTATTTTTAGTTTTTTAAGGAACCTCCATACTGTTCTCTATAGTGGCTGTATCAATTTACATTCCCACCAACAGTGCAAGAGGGTTCCCTTTTCTCCACACCCTAGCCAGCATCTGTTGTTTATAGATTTCCTGATGATGCCCA